GTTGTGTGTATGTGTGTGTACATCTGTATGATGCAAGTGTGTGTGTGTGCAAGGACAGTTTCTAGGAGTCAGTTTTCTCCTTCCACTGTGGGCTCTGTGGATTGAACTCAGGCCATCTTGTGCAGCAAGGCCTTTTACATGCTGAGCCATCTCCTCAGCCCATCAGAAAACATCTTTTGCTAGAAACTCATTTAACGTACACCTAAGGAGCCTCAAACCCCCCTCCCTCTCTCCCTCAGACAGGGTCTCTCATGGGGTCCTCTTGCTCTGCCTCTGCTGGGATTAAGGGTGTGCCACTACTGGCCTAAATTTCTTGATCCAAATGGATCTTTTGGAAATGTACCCAAGATGGGGAGGGGAAAAAAGGCACAGAGAAATGTGTTTGTTCAATGAACAACAACACACACTGAATTTTTTTTTTTTTTTGTCTTTTTGAGACAGGGTCTCCCTGTAGCCCCAGCTGGCCTGGAACTCACTTTGTAGACCAGGGTGGCCGCGAACTCACAGAGGTCCGCCTGCCTCTGCTTCCCGAGTGCTGGGATTACAGGCGTGCGCCACCATGCCCAGCTATACACTAAATTTTTAAGAAATTAAAGCATGTCAATTTCCTCATACCTGCATGCATTTTAGTAATTCCAAAAAGGCGTCAAACCCTTCTAAGAACTTCTGCCTCAGCTCATCTGACCATTCAGTTGGTTTGCTAATCAGCACATACCTACACAGAAAGATGAAAGTGGTGATGAGCACAGAAACACTGACATTTTACAAGCTGGACTTGTTTCAAAATGAAGGAAACACTTACTTGAGATCTAAAATAAGGCTCTGAACTCTCCTAAACTTGAAGGCTTGTAAAGCAGTGTAGCGTTCAAACTGAAATCTGCCCTGGGCATCTTGTTGCTTCAAATGGTCCATGAAAGTCTTAATGATGATGGTCATTAGGTTCTCTTCTGTGATGCGCATTCGAGCCTAAAACGAAATACGTCAGAATGCCTGCTAATCAAAGTCTGTTTACTCAGAAACCAGGAAGAGTTTTAAGCACTTGTAGCTTAAATGTTTTCAACACAAATATAGTGTATTAAGTGTATTAATAGCTATTTCTAAAGATTTTCAGTTATGAGTCTTGTCTGCATGCATATATGTTCACCATGTGCATGTCTGATGACTGTAGAGACCAGAAGAAGGGATCAGATCCCCTGGAATGGAGTTATGGGTGGTTATGAGCCACGCATGGATGCTAGGACCTGAACCTGAGTTCACTTCAAGAGCAACAATTACTCTTAACAGCAGAATCATTTCTCCAGCCCCCCATCGATAACAAAACTTACTCCAATTGCCATGTGTATGGAGGATAATTCTGTAAGAGCTCAGAAACATGCCTGAATGTTAGAAAGCAGATCCAAGGCTTACTAGTCAAGGGTAATTCAGGATGCAGGATCTGAACCAGATATAAAGTCTCCTTAACTGAGACATTTATATACTTATAATGGTATGGAATAATTATTCAAGGATCCAGAGGTTTATGTCACTGCTTTTCAAGACTTCAGTAGGAAGCTTTCCTCCTAACTGAAATTTTCTCCTTCTTCTTCTTTTTTTTTTTTTTTTTTTAGACAGGGTCTCTCTGTAGCCCCAACTGTCCTGGAACTCACTTGCCTGCCTCTGCCTCCCAAGTGCTGGGATTAAAGGCGTGAGCCACCACGCCCAGCACTTTTTTCTTTTTCATGTGATATAACTAACAGGTAAAAAGTCTCCTAGGTCCTGATGTCTCCCATCGGAACACAAACTGTTAGTAGTTTCCAGAGCTGGTGTGCGTGTGTGTGTGTGTATGAACTTTGAAGATTCAACCTATATTAAATATAAGTATGGCTACATATAAAATTGTGTATCTCTTTCCC